TAAAATTACAATGAAAAACCGTTTTAGGGGGGAAATTAATTTCCAACAAGCAGCGGGAGAAAAACAGCTGGAAATCAATGAAAATCCTAAACAAAGCAGTTTCCCTTCAGGAGAAAAAAGGGAACAAGAAAATGCCACCCAACGTCACACACACGCACAATTAGTTGGAAAATTCGGGGTGGGGAGAAAAGAACACCGAAAAGGTGTTGTGTTGGCGGCGTCGGGGAAAATCAATTTCCAATGGTTTATCGAAAATGCATTTCCATTTACAAGAACTTTTTCACTCCCCATCCTCCTGTCCGCGGCAGTGTATTAAAATCAATGAATAAATAAACAAAAAAAAACCCAGGGCATCTCTGGTGTCTACTACCCCTCCCCACTTTCCTTATCCGGCGGAGTCTTTTGTCTCTGGTAATATGGTGGAAACTCTACGGCGGGGGATCCTCTGGCCCCTGGATTGATTTATATTTGTTTTCTGGGCCGCATCGCATTGTGTGAACGGGCGACAGCTATAAAAGCTTTGGCGGCACACGTCTCTCGCTGGGCGTATTTTTTTTGTCCGCCTGTCCGACGACCTCTGGTCCGCTTCTCTGTGGGACTTTACAGATTTTCCTCTAGCTACCACAGATATATGCATCTTTTTGGGGGGCTTTCCAAGAGTTTTTGCCAGATTTTTCTGGATTTTATGGTCTTAAATTGGGTCTTGTCCGTTAATTTTAACGAGTTTGTCCGTTAAGTGGAGTAGGATAGGAGTTTTGTATTAAAAATTCTTTTTAAATCTAAGTTATAGACTTTTTTCCAAGCAAACCACTTTCCCTTTTTGACAACTTTCATAGGCAAAGCCACCAACTATTTGATTGCTTAATTAGCAAACATTTTTCGGGGTCGCCATAAATGAGGACAATTGAAAATGTCAACAGTTGTCCCTTTCGGTTTGTGCATAATTACAAACTCCCTTCCAGCGACAAATGTTAATGCCCGGGGTCAGCTGAGTGGGTTTTCCTCTACAAAACACAAACGGATCGCACAATATGAGGGCTATGTCTCTGTGCGTCATGTTTGTCACTCTATAAATGTGTTAATTAGTCACAGCCCGCAAAAACTGCATCGGCACCCCCTTGGCAAATGTCAAAAATCGAAATTATGAAATGACATTTCCCCCATCGAACATCGACTTCAATGTTAATTAAGTTTGGGATTGTATACAGATGTATTTAATGTGTATTTTTGGGGAGCAAATTGCAAGGGAAATTCTATATTTATTTCCGGATTTCATGTATAGATTTTTTTGTTGATAATAATGTTTAATTGATTTCGTATTTCGACATGTGATATTAATCAAAGACTTTGATTGATGGTTTGTTATGAAGTCTAGGGGTAAATGTTGTATGTATTTATGAAATGAAAGTGAAGGCTTGGGAGCCATCAATCAGTAATTAATAGATTTGATTTGTTAATTTAACTTACAAGATCCTTTGTTAATATTTTTAATAAATTCCTTGGACTCACCTGAAAAGAGAAAACAAATATTAGTACTCAGTTATATCTTACAAAATGTACTTAAAAAGCTTAAAATATTTTCGAAAAGTAGAACACCCCACAAAATAATTATTAATCATATTTCCATTTTCTCCCCATTCCAAATTCTAGAAAACTTCAAAAAGCCAAACAAACAAATAATTAATAACTTAAAAGTTGGAAGGCCAAAAAATGAGCACACAAAATTCCGCTGTCACGCCCCTTTAAGTATAAACAATTTCGAAATTCAAGCCACCCACAGAAAGCCCACCACCTCCCCCCCTTTTTAGCTAAGAGCACTTGTCGTTGAAAACATTTGTAAAAATTCCCAGGAGTCCACGAAGAAAGTCGGGGGAAAATAGGAAAAGATGAGCCGGTAGAAGGAGACGCATATTTATCCAAAAGATATAGAATGTCTGGGACAAGAAGCAGAGCGGTCAGCAGGGGGCATCCCCCATCCTCGTACTCACACATGCATAAACAAATAAAAACCCATTAAGCAAGAGCCAACAACAACTACCGCATTGATGTGTGCAGTGATTAACCGCGAGGGGGAAGGGGGGAAGAAAGGGAGTCTGGAGAGAGCGAGAGAGTGATGGAGTGCAAGAAAGTAGCGGGAAGCAATTAACAACTACAACGACAAACAAAAGGAGTGACTGGGAGAGAAAGAGAGGGACTAATGCTACTGCTAATGCAGAGAGAGAAATTAATATTGGAGTTATTATATATACTAAATTTAACTAAGCATGTATACTATCTATATTTTATAATACTTGTTCTGTTTATTAAATAATATTATTAATATTGTATTAAGATATATTTATTTCTATTATAGTTAGATTTGTATTCTAATTTATTTTTTATATTTCATTTCTTAAAATCCCTTTTTTCTTACCTTATGTTTGTCACAAATTTTGAATTTACTTTTTACACTTTTTAATTAACACTTTTATCACAAATTATTCCTCAGTGCACCAGTGTGTGCGGGCATTCAAAAGCAATAACAACTACAACAGATTCAGAGATAAGAACAGCAGGCCACCGAACTGTGTGCCAGAGAAGATAAATATATGGGGGAGAAGTGCATTTAGATAAGCAAAGCAAAAACTCAGCTGGGAACAAACCAAAAATTAAGAACAAGAAGAAACACGATGGTTGGTTGGATCATTACATCCAATGGAAAATGGATCATAACTAAGCCAAAAATGCTCTAATTTCAATTCGGAAAGCTTTCCTATGTTAGTTTTTCTAAGTTTAACAAATCTGCAAATGGAGTTTAAAATTTTTTAAATTTAAAATTTTTATGAATTTTTTGACCCTTTAATAATTATAAAATATCGAAAATTTTAAAGAAAAAAAATTTTTCCCGGACATAGCTAGATCGATCCGGCTGTTAATGCTGATCATTAATATATATGGATTATAGGGTCGGAAATGACTCCTTCCCTGTGTTTTAAGCTTTTGACTGAAATCATAATACAATATAAGGGTATATAATGAAAGGTTCCAGCTGTGTTTGCTCAGTGAAACAGAAGCGGCTCATCCAAATATAGCCTTAAATCTCAAACTCATACTCTTTCTTTTTCTGAGTGCAAAGTGCAGAGATAATAATTCGTGTGAAATCTTTCTTTATTTACTTGCACAATACCAGAAGGAGAAGTGGTAATGTAGGGGAAAAGTGCAAATAACAAACAAATAGTTTTATAAGTGAGACTCATTTATGAATACTCTTTTTTAGGGAATAAGGAAAGATCACAAGAGATCATTAATACATTAATGCAGTACAATACCTGGTTCTATATAAATTTCCCATGTAGATTAAGAGAACAGACTATTTAACCTATTTAATAACTCCAAACTTATTTTAATGCCTCTAGTCTATTTAATTTAAAAATACTTCTCTCCCTTCTCTCAACAGCTTCCTCCTAAGAATTTAATTAAAATGAATTCAAGACGGGGCATGACTGAGACTCGAAAAGAAATCAAAGTTGCGGGCTTGCTACAATGGGCAAAATAAATGAAAATGGCAAGCAAAAATTGCCAAGCGGTCTGAGGGTCTAAGTCAAGGCAATGGGGGGAAAATAAAACAACCAGAGAGACTTCATCAAAGAATTTGAAGTGGCAAATACTTGGGAATGGGTAGAAAATACTCATATGTGGGCAGATATGTTCTTGTCAACTTGATGGATCAGGGGCGCGGTTCAAAGCCACAGAGAATGGGTCCAGGTCTGAGTGCTCGGGGATCCCCTTTTGCGGAATCCGTTACTAATCACACGACTTAAATTTGCTTGCCCGCTTCCGTCGACTCCCTCCTCCAATTTCCCATTCTCCGGTTCAGGGTTGATGCATTCGCAGAATCTCAGCCTGTCACATGCTCGTAAAATCAACAAAATGCAGGCGACTGTTGTGACACTTGCCATGACAACCAGCCCGAACAGCGGCAACAACACTCGGTTGTTGCAGTTAGCAAAATGTTTAATGAGTGACAGAGAGACAGGCAAGCACTGAGAGAAATTTTAGGAATTTAATAAATACTTCCCTTCGAATACTATGCTTTTGTAGAATTTTTTAAGTAATTTCTAATCATTCTTAGTATAAAAGTCTATGGATTGTTTCACCATCTTTTTTCATTTAATGTTAGATTTCTTAGCTGTATAAATGAATCATTAGTGGAAACTAATTAAGGACTATCTACTCCTTATAAAAAACAGCTGGTCTTAAAAATGTACTGCAGTGCATTAATAGAAAAGGACAAAGCGTAGAAATTTGCATCTGCGGTAGGTTTCGGCTTAAGAACTGACTGGGCAGAAAGGGAGACTATGGTAGAGGAGGCCTTGATCCACCCCTGGAAGGCGAGGACAGTGGCGGAGTGGTGGCGGCCTTTTTGGGGGATGGGGCCCAAGCCCAGGCCCAGGCCCACCCACTAGAAAATGCGTCGCTCGCTTTCTGCATTCTGTGTCAGCTGTCAAAGCCCAAAAACTGAAGTTGCCTTTTGTAATTTTTGTTGTTTTTTTTTTTTATATATGCATGGACATGGCTAGAGGGGGTGTGATAAGGGGAGTGATGCTGCCGTCGGGCAAAGTGTCCATTATGTTGATTTGAAAAATAAAAGCAACGGATGCGATGGCTCACACAAAGATGAAGGGCGGACACATCAACAGGGACGGGGTGTTTCTAGAAGGGGATTTGGTCTCTTCCAAGGGTTGGGGGACGTGGACTGATGATGGCTGGTGTTTTGAAATTTAGTTGATTGAAGGACAGTTATATGTGTACTTGGTGACATTTTTTGTTGTCAAGAGATTGGCTAAGGAACTTGCTAAAAGATTAGAATAATATAAATTTAGCACAAATGAAGCTATCTTTGCCTTGAAAAAGGTTTTAAAATTGTATATAAAGTAAATTTTCACTTAATAAAATATTAAAAAAGATTTAAAGTACTATACCGTTGCCTTAGTTATCATTTTCTAAAATATAAACCCAGATCACATTCAACCCTGACTCTGTTAACCAACACAACACAAAATACACCAAATAATACATTTTATACACTTGAAACACACTCAAAGACCCCCCTAAGATCCTCTTATACTATCCCCACACAACTGATTTTTAGTAGGTTCCAAAATTTCTAAATAAAAGCTCCACAGAATTCCAATGAAGACAGCCAAGAAATCCAAACACCATGACCTTCGGTTTCGGTATCAAAGGTCTGACGAGCGCTTGAATCTGGACCAGATTATTGCCAGACTGAAGACGTCACCTTGCCAGGAGAACTGTGCGTCGTTGACCATTCGGGACCTCGAAGGGGTGTGTGCCCAGGCGCGAGAGGTCCTTTTGAGTCAACCGACGCTCCTGCAGATCCTGCCGCCCATCAACCTGCTCGGCGACATCCATGGACAGTATGAGGATCTGCTGTGTTACTTCCAGACGAATGGCTATCCACCAGATTCGAACTACTTGCTCCTGGGGACTATGTGGACCGGGGCAAGCAATCCATTGAGACTTTGACCCTGCTCTTGGCCCTGAAGGCCAGGTATCCGGATAATTTCTTCCTGCTGCGCGGCAATCACGAGTGCTCCGGCGTGAATCATTATTATGGCTTCTACGACGAGTGCAAGCGGCGGTTTACGACCAAATTGTGGCGCACCTTTGTCGATTGCTACAACTGCCTGCCTCTGGCGGCGACCATCGATAACAATATCTTCTGCTGCCACGGCGGCCTGAGTCCCAGTCTTTTTAACCTCGATCAGATCAGGAAAATCGAGAGACCTCTGGAGATTCCCGAGTCCGGTTTGGTTTGCGATATCCTATGGTCTGATCCGGATAAAAGGATGATTGGTTGGGGACCCAATGCGCGGGGAGTGAGTTACACCTTCGGCTCGGATGTGGTCACTGCCTTCCTGCATCGTTTTGGGTTTAGCCTCATCTGTCGGGGACATCAGTGCGTCGAAGATGGCTATGAGTTCTTCTCGAAGAGAGAACTAATAACCATTTTCTCGGCGCCCAACTATTGCGGGGAGTTTGATAATGCCGGGGCCATGTTGAATGTTGATAAGGATCTGCTCTGCACCTTTCAAATTCTGAAGCCAGGTTATTGCAGGCCTTTGAAAGGACTCAGGAGTGTGTAATAGCTTAATTTGGTAATGTGTTTAAAAAAATATGACTGTTGAAACGAGTATATAAAAGTATATTTCACTATAAAGAGTCTGATTTATATTTTATATTAAGGAGCTCTTTTAAAACTTCTTCCTATAACAAATAATTGATTCAGCAACCAAATTAAGTCATGTAAATAGTAGAATTGCCATTAAATAATTAACTAGCACAATTTCCAAACAATTAATAGAAAAAACCAACAAAGTATGCAATTTCATCAACAATGGCAATCTAGAATGAAAAAGCCTTTCCTTTTCCATACCGCAAATAGTAATATATATTAATTTGATAAATTGTAATCATTAATTTCCATCTAGTAAAGTCATAAAGGCAATTAAATTATGGCCAAGTTGGCAAAGAAAATTTTTGTACAAATGTTAATGACTGTCACTGGGCGGGCGGGGTCCTCAACAAAAGTGAAAAGCAGCTAAAATAATTACTAAAATGCATTACGACACGCAAACGCACACAACTGCACATAGATGTTAATGCGAATTGGCGGGAAAAAATGATATATATATTTATAGTATATATATCTCTATGAAAGAGAAAAAGAAGTGAAATTAAATGACACTGCAATTTGCAAAGGGAATAAATTAATGGCAATCCATTTTGGTAAATTGGAATGATGCAGAGTGGCCATTAATGCAAATTTATAGGGTAATGAAAGGGCAGCCAAGGGGCGGGGATTATGTGACACATAGATAAGGTTAAGAGCCTTGAACTGTTAAAACGGAAACTTGATTAATTTAATGAATGGAGAACAAGTAATGAATATATATACGAAAGATACCCCAAAGTAGTATTATTTAAAAACAAAAGCTTAAAGCCTCAAAGAAAATATATTTCTAGTTAGAAACTTTCACATTTCCAGGCATACAATTAAATTAAATCTTTATTTTCGAGATTACATTGAATTTCCTGCTCCGGATGATGACTCAGGCAGGTCTTCAGAACACGGCAAGGACATCTAGGATTCACAAGGAGATGCACAGACATTGGTTGTTGTTGACTAATGACAACACAAGCATATCAGTGTCGCAACAGCCAAGGAAAACAAAGGCCAAATAACCATACGTGTGTGTGTGTGAGTCAGGGGGGTTGAAGCTGCATTATTAACCCCACAATGCAGCAGAATGTCCGAAGAAAAAGATGCAGAGATACAGATGCGAAGACAGGGACAGGCGTAAGCCGAAAGATCCACAAAACTAATCCCAGCCAGAGAGGGAGACTACGACGACGATGACGACCTCTCTTGGACGGAGACAGAAGGCAGCTGCCAGGATTTACATATTAAGCCATTTTTAATTTACGACTTGCCAAAAAGCTGCCAGCAGGACGAAAGACTTTCACCCATTTTCCCCGATGCCGTCGCTCGCCTGACTAAACACCAGATAACAATGGCAGAGGAGAAAGCTGAGAGCGAACGGAGTATGGCGAACACAGATGGATGATAAAGGAGCCAAAGGGATAACGACGACCATGAACGGGACCCAGTATCCTTACGCAAAAGCCACATAACGGCAATGGAACACCACCCATCGCCCACTCGCAGCTCCCAGCTCTCGCCTTGGACCCACAGCGAGCGAGTGAGCAACAATGACAGTAATAAAATAAAAGTAAATCCATGCTTTGGTTTTTTTCTCTCGCCTCCTTTTGCTCCTTTCCTCTGCCGGCTGGCATCTGTCAAAGTTTGACATTGACGTACAAGTCCCGGAAGCTGGGAATCGAGACGCAACTTGCTTAGAGGTTTAGAGATGTTTTCCATGTCAGTGTAGAAAAGAGTAGAGTCCCCTCTTTAAAAGCCAAGAAAAATGGTGCTAAGGTGAGAGAAAGTAGAACTAAATGTATAAAAGGTACCTAAGTAGAGGTTCTGATGTGTGTTATCAAATATCTTAAGTAATCGGATATGCCTCCTATTTATACATAAAAAATGTGATAAATATTTTGTATGTTCTTTTGATGCCCAGAAAAAAATGCACATATACAATATAAAAATGAGTTACCCCCAGAATTTACTAAAATTCCCTATTATTTCTAGCAAAGTTAGCGTACGATTTTCTATAAATAAATATTAAAATAGAAAAATCAATACAATTCTTTAGAAAATATATTATATATCTTATATATATTACCATTTCAAAAATCCTTATAAAAGCTATTATTCTTAATACCTTAAAAAATATATATATCAAACTCTGATTGGACTTCTAATCCCCATTTCCTAAGGGTCTCTTTTTTTTCTCAAGGAAATAATCCCAACAGGAAAAGGCAATAATAAACATGGTAAGGGATATTTCCCCTAGGGCTATTCCATTTTTATAGAGCTCTTCAGCAACTGTATCTGCAACTCTCTTTGGCTTAGACTTTGACTTGACTTTTCAGCAACTTTTCCAGTTTACGGGTAGTGACAACAGGTGCAGATGGCCAAGCAAAAAAAAAAAGGGGAAGAACCATCAATCACATGGAGCTTCTGGAAGCCAAAACCAACTAAACCATATGCCAAGCGGCGGTTACAGTAGACTCTCGAAAAAGCCACCCTTTCTCCCTTAATCCCCCGCCTTTCAGGGGCGTCAAATGTGACGCTTTCAAAAAGAAAAAAAAGAAAAAGGAAGTTCAACCTCCACCCCCAAATCCCCCAAAAAAAACAGAAAGAAAGCCTCTAACAAGCGGAAGGAAATGTTGGGCTGCCTGATGCCTCTGATGATGATGATGATGACAATGTTCTTGGCTCTTTGGTTCTTTAAAGTTTTCGCAGTAGGAAAACCAGTGAAAAGTCAATGTCTGTTGCGGTTTAGTCACTCAAAAAACACATACCCAGAAAACCGCTTTGTTTGCCGTGCGGGAAAGTGAAAGGAAAAAGGAAATCCCTATCCCGCTATTCAGTATCACCCTCCCTCTGTCTCCCTCCCTTCTATTGTATCTTTGGGTGTGAAAAGATTTTCAGTTGATTTGACTCTGCTCAATGAACGAATTTTCCTCAATTTTTGTTCGCTTGGCTTATAAAGTTTTCTTACTGGAATCACATTTTACTGGCTTGTTATCCCTCGGAAAGTTCACTCACCTGCAAAAAAGGGAAACAAGATAACGAGTTTAGTAGGGAATGGAGGGAAAATATTTATGTTTGCTAATTAAAAGATTACAAAGGCGATGTTGTTACCCTTTTCAAATTCGCCAACTAGCCAACTGGCATTTTAATTAAGACCAACAAGAAAAAATCAACCACAAAGGGGGCAAAAAAAGGCAACTCAAAGTAACAACTCTATTAAAAATATGCCCCGGCAAATGATTTATAACATTTCTGGTCTTCCGTTTCAGTGAGAAGGCATAAAAAAATAAAATGTGGGAAATTATAATGGTAGGACATGGCATTAGCTTGGTCACCTTTCTTTTCTCCTCTTTTTAAGGAATAAAAAACATTTTCTGACAGGATAAGCGGGCGCCTTTGGCAGGCCGTGAAAAATGATGACTTGCCAATTGGCTTTCGTCTTTTTTTTGGGGTTAAAAGTAGGGAAAATGTGATCGGGAAAAAGGACAGCCAGATGACGATGATTGGTCTAATATTGATAAAACATCGATTGGCATATGGGGGAAATTTTGTAGAAAAATATGCAGGTAAAGGAAAGTTCTGTTAGATTAATTGGTTTGTTTCAAAAGTATATTTTTTACATTTAATTTTCTATATATTTCTAATACAAAATAACTTAATGTACGATACAAGAAACAAATATTAAAAAGCTCACTGAACAAACATTTAATTAAGTTCACCACTTCAAATTATTTTCAATCAATTTCCTCTTTAATTAAGTTATCAATATATAAGAAAAATTCAAGCTCAAGCCACTTTCACCGCTGCCAAGATAACCCCAAAAAAGTAGAAAAAAAGCATGATTAATCAGCAAAAAAACAAAATAAAAATGTTCAAGGAAAAATGAGGAAAACCGCAGAAAAAAAGAAGAAGATATTGTAACGAGCGAAAGAACAAACAAAGTTGCAGTTATGGCTCAATAAGCTAACAAAGCCGAACGAACCTCAAACCCCCTGCCATCAGGCAGTCGATGATAAAGCATTTTCCCTTTTTTCCGAAGCTCTTTTTCCTCTTATTTTTCAACGAAAAGCCGCAGACAACAACAATGGGCTTGCATGATGAGCAACGAATAAGAATAAAATTACTAACCACAATGAAAATTGAAAAACATTTATTAGAAGAGCAGAAAATACACCAAGAAAATGCAAGCGTTTGTTTCTGGTAAGTAATAATAATAAGAAATACAATATACAAATACAAATGTTTACTAAGAATTTAAAATAAATTGAATTAAGTTAAGAAATTGTACTACAAAAATTCAAAAATATTTCAATTATTTGGAAACCTAAAATAATTTGTTATAGATTTTCGATGACTTTTTGAATGATTAGAAATCTTACAACGATAAATCAATATTTTTAAATGCTTCGAATGTTGGTAAATTGTACAAATTAGAATGCAGTGATAATTCAAAATATATTTTCTATGCATTGCAAATCCCTCAATATTTTATTCTCAACATTTATTGATATACATTTTATTTTCTTGAAATTCTGTTTAAATAGTAAATAAAAAGTCATTTACTTTCTTCAAGTGTAAGATAGATAACGACCGACTGAGGTGCACACGCACATGCTAATGAAAATGAGGAGTCTGGGCCGCAAGTCTGTGGGTTAAGGCTCATGGAGAGGGGTTAAGGATGTCTGCGGGGGTTAAGAAAGGCAGCTACTGTGTCGCCATCAGTGCGAGGCCTTTATTTATGAGGGTTAATAATCGAATGCGATTGCCTGGACAAGATAAACATCCCGCGGACTATTGCCAATCCCTTTCTTTCCTTCTCTCTCACTCTGTGTGTTATCTTGACTCAGCAGAAATCATGGTGTCTCTTTCTCTCTGTGTTGCCACATTATGCGGGCGCATCATCATGCAATTCTCGCCCCCTCTCTTTCCACTGGGTATAGTCCTCTCTATCGCTGACAGATTTTT